ATCTGCTTAGGAAAAATTGGGCATTGTTAGGAAAGTGGTGGTATAGGTTAGGTGATGGGGTTGAGAACTTATGGAAAAGGGTGGTGAGGGAAAAATATTATGGAGGTAGGAGCGAGGTTGATATTACAGCGGTTGAGGGTGCGAGGGTGTCAAAGCTGTTGAGGGATATTATTAGAATGGGGGGTCAATCTTCGAGATTAAGGAATATGCTGGTGAAGGGCTTCAAGTGGGAAGTGGGTGAGGGAAATAAGGTGGATTTTTGGCAAGAGTGGTGGGTTGGAGATAAAACTCTTAGGGACTTATGTCCAAGATTAGATGCACTATCGGTTAAGAAGGAAGGAAAGGTTTCTGAAATGGGAAGCTAGAATGAGGGTAGATGGTGTTGGCGTGTTGAGTGGAGGAGAGGTACTATAGGGCGTGAGAAGGATGAGGAGGTGGTGCTGGAGAAGATGCTGGAGGGTGTTCAAGTGAAGGAGGGGATTGGGGATGTTTGGAAGTGGAGGCATGCGATGGATAACAGATATGTTGTAAAGACAGCCTACGACTATTTAGATTCTATGGAAGGTGTACTAGAGGACCAGATGTGTAAATTAATATGGTGCAGGTTGGTGCCATCCAAAGTTGCCTTTTTTGGGTGGCGATTGTGTTTAAATAGGCTTCCAACAAAGGAAAATCTTCAAAAGCGTGGGGTACAATTGCAGGAGGAAGGTATTTACTGTGAATTTTGTAGTGGGATAGTGTAGGAGGCTAATCACTTATTTTGTATATGTTATAAAGCGTGGATAGTGTGGGTAGAGGTGTTGAATTGGTGGGGTTTGGAGAGTGTTTTGCCCAATACAGTTGTGGGAGTGGCAGATTTTTTCATAAATGAGTTGGGCAGAACAGTAGGAAAGGAGATGGGCTCTTGTATTTTTCTGGCAGTTGCTTGGTATGTATGGTATGGAAGGAATACTCAGGTATTTCGAGAAGATGAAGGAATTCCAGAGAAAATGCTAGAAAGGGTGCAAGTAAAAACCTTTTTATGGTTAAAGGCTAAAGTGAATGGATGCGTTTTTTCCTTTTATGAATGGCAAGTTTGTCCGATGGAATGTGCAAAGTCTGTCAAACGGCATAAAAGGATGAGGAAGCAATCCTCGAAGGCTGTAGTGGCCCCTAGCTAATGGGGGGGAGGTTCACAATCTGCTCTTTTCGTCTGCTGTATGGGTTCTGAAGAACATGGTGTTGATTGGGTTTGTAGGCTGTCATAAGCGGCAGGAAATGGCTTAGTTTTATTTCCTTCTCCTGTAGATTTCCTGATGGCTGTCTTGAGCTTTTGTGTTTTTGATTGATGTAGGTAAATTGGGTTGTGTATCTTGATTTCACCGGACTGTATTTTGTTTTGGGAGCATTTCTTATGCTCCTTCTCTAATATATATCGTAAGTTGCTTTGCTGATAAAAAAAAAATTAATTATTATGATTATATTAAAACTCAATGATAAACATTTTTTTTTTTTTTGAATTTGACAAAATATTAATGTTAGCCATTTGGTTTACTCCTATTCTGATGGAATTAACTATCATCAAAATTTAGGGTTCGCCCGATAACATATACTTATGTGAATATATGTATCAACTTGACATTGCACTTTTTAATAATAGTATCAATGTCTACTTAGCTGATGCATTTATTTTTCTATTTGCATCAATTTTCCTCCTATCTGCGTCCATATTTTCTCACGCAAATGGGGTTGCATTCTTGTAGTGAGAAGAATCAAGGGTCGTGCAGAAGTTGCTGGGCGTTTGAGACTGTGGCGGCGGTGGAAGGGATAAACCATATTGTCACCAGAAACTTGCAGAGCTGTTAGAACAAGAGCTGATCGATTGTGATACCATGTATAACAACGGGTGCAATGGAGGTCTAATGGGTTATACATTTTTCTTCGTTGTTCCCAATGGTGGGCTTCACAATGAGGAAGACTACGCATATATCATGGAGGAAGGAACTTGTGCGATGAGAAAGGTATACACAAAGCCCAACCCACAATTGTTTTGAGCTTAAGCCCATCTGTGATGTGCCTGTTTTGATTTTCTTTGTTCTATTTTTTATTTAGTATATGAAGCAGAGACGTTGACCATAAGTGGCTATAGAGACGTGCCTGCGAACGATGAAGACAGACTGTTGAAGGCATTGGCAAGCGTGGCCATTGAGGCTTCTGCGTGAGACTTCCAATTTTACTGCATGCGGGTTAAGTGAATGAATCAAGTTTGAATTGTTTGTTAAGAACTTTATTTATTCTTGTATATATTAATGTTATAACTTTCATTTGAATTTTGAATCTCAAGAACTTACAATTAATTAGATTTTTACTCTGTATGAATTTATTATAAATGAATCGTGAAATTTTAAATTGTATATATGAATTTAGAATACATATATTTTATTAATTGAATTATAAATTTTTAGAGAATTCTTAATATTTTATATATCACTAAATAGTGCAGGATTTAAATTTTATCAACTCACAAAATTCCAAAAAAAAAAAAAAAAACCTTTACTTTGACAAAAATAACAAACCCAGTTAAATTACAGTAACAATTGAAGGTTCCAACTTTCTTGCCTCTAAAAGAAGAAAGCAAAAATAACTCTTGCATTTTAGTTTAGTATAAACGCTACGTAGTAGTAGTATTTACAAGGAATTGAATTATGTGTTTATCTATGCTGTTGCAGCTCTGTTGTTAAGAGGAGGAGAACCTACATAGCGCAGGAGCTGATACCGAAACATCGATTTTGGTGAGATTAAAAATCTCACTATGATAAATTTGATTGTAAAGTTTACTATTTAGGTTGATAAGACCTAAAATACAAAGATAAATTGAGAGAATTCACCTTAAAAAAACTCATTTAATAAAAGAGAATTATAAACTAAAAATTTAAATTAAAACTTGTCTTTACAACGGAGGAAACATGATTATTTATAGGTAAAATCTAATTAAGGTAATAAATGTATAATTGGGAGTTAACCATTTTCGTGGACTTTGGTGGCCATTTTGGCCGACTTGTGGTCCTTTTGACAAAGTTGCACCGGCCTATTCTAGTAGGTGGTGTTACAGAGTAACTTTTGCATGCTTGTTGCAATTTCTTGGTACTTTCTCCCAGTGCACTACGTGTTTGGAGAAATTGAATTGTGTACTTGGGCACACAAATACACAATTCCATATGGCCATGATCTTAATTGTCCATCTCACCGTCCATCTCACCGTCCATCTCATTGTCGGTCTCATTATCCTCTAGGGATCTACCTCTGGTTTCCCGCCCGAAGAAATACGTCACTGCCGCACCCAAAAGACACATGACCCCCAAGGACACTAATGCCCATGTCATCCTACCAGGATGGGGATCGTCGTGCGAGTCCGGACGGTTCTTTGATGCCCATGCAAACCCAATAGTCCCAATAATCGCACCCACTTTTCCCATGGCTCCGGAGATCCCGTGACACGTCGATCTGAATCTTGCCGGAAACAGCTCCGCTGGAACTATGAACGTGGTTGTGTTGGGTCCAAAATTGGCAAAAAAGAAGGTCAAGCCGTACAGAATCCCAAACCCTATATTCACGTTACGTTTGTCATGTTGCCAATAGTGTATGTAGGGTATTCCAATTGCAAAGTAAACCAATGCCATC